CCTTCAGGGAGCTTCTATCGGCTATCGGGGTATTCTATCCTAGGCTGCCTGCAGGGCACTCCTAAAGGCAAGTTTTCTCCCCATCCCCCCGCCCATCCCCCACCCATTTCTCTTCATCTAGTGTAATTCTAACAAACGATGTGAGAAATGGTGGGGAAAAGCATGGTTTAAATAGGCCTAAATTTTGGGGGTGGGGCTTAATTTCACCTCATGCCTAGAAATCATGCTGGGCCTTCCTATTGGTGGAGGTTGTATTGTTGGAGAAACATGGTATATATTTTGTTTTTAATTCATAAATATTTATAATAGTATAATATGGCAACCACTTACACTAGTATATGTTTTTAGTAAAGTTTTTATTTATTTTGACTATTGTCAGGGCATATCACTTACAAAAAAGCAAAGGAAAAACAAACAAGCATCAAACTATAACATGTTGATACTTGTTTTTCCTTTGCTTTTTTGTAAGTGGTATGCCCCAACAATAGTCAAAATAAATAAAAAGCAAAACATATACTAAAATAAAATAAAAGAGCAACTTACTAAAAATTAGGCAAAGGCAGGCAAGTTGGCTAGCAACCCAGGAGTCGGACTCAACTGGGGCTGGTGGAGGCAGAAGGTAGGTGACCAGAACTGAGGCTCATTCACTAATTGGCGATGGGGGCCTTCAGCAGTGATGAGTGGATGAAGATGGCGGCCGGTGAGGCAGGCAGCGGTGGCAGGTGGTGTCAGCAAGAGCAGCTGGGAGTCGGGACTCAACTGGGGCTGGCGGTGTTAGCAGGTAGGCAACCGGGCCGTGCTTGAGGGCTCACTCACTGATCCGCGGTGGGACCTTCAGCAATGGTGGGCAGGCAAAAATGGCAGCTGCGCAAGGCAGGCAGCAATGGCAGGTGGTGTCAGCGAGGGCGACCCGGGAGTCGGGATTCAACTGGGGCTGTTGGCGGTGGCAGGTAGGCAATCGGGACTTGCAGAGCCTCACTCACCCAGTCTCAGAGAGATCAGATGACGCAGGGCTGTGGCAAAAGGAAGGCAGCGATGGCTGGCTAGCTGGCTGGTGAAGGCAGACTGCAGCTAGCCATGGCGCACATGCTAGATAAGGAGTGACTGGGTGGATTGGGCGGGAAGGAGCGGGGCCAGCCAGTGGTATGATTTGCCAGTTTTCCGAACTGCACAGAATCGTAACAGCTGTTTTGCCTGAACTGAGCCGAACCAGTAAAATCCCACCCAATTGTAGTGTGTTTCTTACATATCTGTGTTAAGACTTGTGGACTTCAACTCCCAGAGTTCAACTCTGGGAGTTGAAGTCCACAAGTCTTAAAGTGGCCAAGGTTGGAGACCCCGGCCTATAGTATACACCTATGGCCATGTCATTCTTTTTTTCTTTTATATTGACCTATATGCATTCTATGAGGTTTTAATCTTTGGTTTCATGTGTTTCTATAGCAATATAGTTGTCCTTTACATACAGTGCAACTCCACCTCCTCTTTTATGGGGTCTGGTTTTTTTTGAACAGTTTATATCCTTCTATCAGTATGTCCCAGTCATGGATTTCATCCCAACAAGTTTCTGTTAGTCCAACTACATCATATCTACCTTCACGTATAGTTCGAGTTCACACTGTTTGTTCCCCAGGCGTTGTGCATTTGTATACAGGCACCTGAGATCTTTATGTCTGACTCTGGGTATGCTTCCTATGTTTCCACATTGCTCTATTAGTTATTTGTTCTGTTTCTTTTTGTTTCTAGGCAGATTCTCAACTTCATTTCCACCCATTGTTTCTCATCCTTCTTTCTGGTGCCATGGAAAACAAGTTAGAGGCAGCCCCTCAAATACTGGAATACTGCTAACATGTCATTCCTAGTCCTTCTTTTCTCTAGACTGGTCATACCTACATCCTGCAACCGTTCTTCATGTTTTAGTGTCAAGGCCTGTACATTTTAGTCTTCAGGCCTTTTAAAGATTAGTGTTGCCTATTTCCCAGTAGAAGATGACAGGCAGCATTTTCAAATCATGCAGTATAATTGTAAAAACATTTGGGAAGATAAAGAATACGCACCGGCAGCCGACAACATTCCGTCTATTTGCTTCTATGTTTTTACTATGTGGAACAAACCAAACAGCCTTACTGGTCCCCGATTCTCTTCTGACCTATGCTCGATTCACCTTCCAGCTGCTGCTTTGGCCGTGGGAAGAGCACAACTGCAACCCTCCAACATCCTGTGGATAAGGTGGAAGAGGGAGTTCCTCTGCCCTTGTCCTCTTCCCGACATCCTCTCTACAATATTGTGTTTTAAACTCCTTTCCCCTCAGCAGTTGCCCTCCGTCCAGTTGGATGCTGGATTTCAGCCACCACTGGTGCTGCTATTAGATTGGCAATTTTCTGGGCACATGGGTTATTATACAGCTCTACGTAGTGACGTAAGGCTGAAAATAGGCTCAGTATCTCTATCTGATGTTTTAAAGATTTTTTTTTAATGAAGTGTCCTTTTCCGTTGTTAGCCACTACATCCATAATTTTTCTCCAGGACCATCTAGTCATAGTATGTCCTTTGGGGTCTCGTAGGAACATTCCTCATCATCACTGCAACTGGGCTGGGAGGTTCTTTTGCAGGGACTAAACCAAGGGACAGCATCCTTGCAGGGAACACAATGTGCCATCAGACAACAAGAAATTCCCTTCTGGGTCACTGGAGACTATTCCAGCCAGTTCTTCATCTTGGAAATGCGAGAAAGTACCTCTGCAACGGACAGAAGCTTAAAGAGCAAAACCTGTCCCTACTTTCCAAAATTAGCCAGGTGCTGCATCATAAAAGTTGATCAAGGTCTCGTTTGTATGTGCAGCCTTAAACAATTGCCAACTTCATCCCATTAATAGAAGAATGTAATACAGGAAAAAAACCTTGAAGGGCCCACCCACATTGCTTCCAAACCCATCTAGATAGGAGATATTATTTTTCCACCTGCATTCTTGCAGGGCCCAAATCTCACTAGAGGACAGAGTTCCTCTGAAAAGCCTTCCCAATTTCCAGAGAGTTTAAGAATCCAGCATTGAGTGTACCCAGGCAGCTTGGCCAAAATATTTGGAGGACACTAGTTTCTGGAAAGCTGATCTAAAGTGCCCTGCGCTTTAATTATTGGCTCTCAGTCCCCTCAAAACCTTTCCACACAGTAAAATGTTATGACTGATTTCCTTTGGCTCCCCAAGATTTAGGAGATGGAAGCACCAGCAGGTCAGAGCCTCCAAGGGAACTAGCTTCACTCCTGGCCAGGGCTGCCTAGGATTTTAAGTCTGCAAATTGCCATGTGCTTCTGTAATTTCCTTAGCATGAAAATCTGCATTAAGTCTAAGTGAGTGAGACATATACCCAACAGGGCCTAGAAAAAGAGCACTCGGAAAGCGACTGTATATTTGGTAAACAAAACTCACACACTTTTCAAAGAAATGTTTGAAAGCTTTGTAAAAAGAATGGCAGTATGTCTACGCACACAAAAATGTTTTTGCTTGACATGTATTTTTTTAAATTAGAAATTTAATCTAATATTTTTTTTAAAACCCACAATAAACTATAAGCAATAAACAAGAAATTGGAAAAAATACCTCAGTGAGGACTTCTCCTTTTTTCTATCAAGTAATTCTTATACGCATTCCTGTTTGGGAATTGTGTCCCCTGAGCTAGTCAGAAGAAAACCCTTCTTAAAAATGGATCCTGGCCTGAAGTCCATTCCTGAGAGAAATCCAAGCCAACATTTCCCTTCCACATTTCTCACATCTGGGTGGAACAGGGAGAGTCTATGGTATTTCACCAGGCTCAAGGTTGACTCAGCCTCCCATCCTTCCGAGGTCGGAAAAAAACGAGGACCCAGATTGTTGTGGACAATATACTGACTCTGTAAACTGCTTAGAGGGCTGTAAAGCATTGTGAAGCGGTATATAAGTCTAAATACTTTTGCTATCGCAGGAGCAGATACTAGAAAGACAAGACACACAGAACATTATAGGAAATGGATGGGGATAGCTACTAACTACAGCCGTGATGGTGCACATATGTCACGCATGCCAGAGGTGGCACGCAGAGCCCTCTCTGTGGGCATGTGAGCCGTTGTCCCAGATCAGCTGTGCCACGCATGTGCACATGCCTCCCATTGGCCAGCTGGTTGAGTCTCTGCTGTGTATACGTGGGCGTGGGGTGCATGCGGTGGAGTGTATCTGTGGGGGGTGGGGTGCATGCAGACACATTTGTAGGGATCCATGCGCATGTGTGGGGGCACGCACGTGCTTGTGCTTTGGCCACGCGGTACCGAAAAGGTTAGCCAACGCTGAACTAGAGGATGGGGAGAGAGAGAGATGGAGAGGGTGTAGCACTAGGTAGATATGGAGATTAGGATTAGAGATATGTAGAGGTTCGGAACAGAGAAAGATGGGAAAAGTCTACAGAGATTCTCAGGCATCCAGGTCATGGTTATCCCAAAGTTGCTTTCTGAAGAGTCAACTCTACTTTGTTTTTTCCTTGGAGACGGTTTGCTTCTCATTCAAGAAACCTCTCCAGCTGTGACTGGATGATGAGGAGTGCAATGGTGTGGGAGTATGCCAATTGTGGAGGCTTTGCATTTTGCTATTTGCTATATATGTGGTTTATTGGTTTCTGTGTTAAGGTTTTATTGCTGTAAGCCATCTGGAGTCCCACTGAGTTGGGCTGCCTTACACAATTTCTTAACAAAAATACATGCATACATACATACGTATCTATATCCTGCCTTTATTATACAATACAAGTAAGTCAAAGTGGCAAATATACCTAATAGAGATCTAAGCGCCTTTTCTCTGGCCCAGCATGGAAATTCCCCTCGACTCTGTGAAAGGGAACAACTGCACAACTCCAGAGAAAGGAAGCTCAGATCTCCTCCCTCATGTTCTATACTAAGACATGTTTGACTAAAAACAATTAAGGCAACAAATTGAATGGTTAATTTCTCAACCGGGCTTCTAGAGAAGAGAAAATAAAATCAAGATTCCTCTACACATATCAAATTTTGCTTCATATGGAATTTGTGTGCGATAAGAGCGGAATTTTGTGCGAAACATTTCCCACAATCTGGGGATTTGAATGGTTTCTCTCCTGTGTGTAACCTTACATGATTTATAGGGCTACAGCTGACAGTGAAATCTTTCCCACAATCTGGACACTCATATGGTTTCTCCCGTGTGAGTCTTCTGGTGTATAACCAAGCGGGAATTCCGACTGAACCTTTTCCCACATTCAGGACACTCATATGGTTTTTCTCCAGTGTGAGTCCTCTGGTGCATCACCAGATTAGAATTCTGCTGGAAACTTTTCCCACAATCTGGACACTTATATGGTTTCTCTCCTGTGTGAGTCCTCAGGTGTATCACCAGGTGGGAATTCTGACTGAACTTCTTCCCACAATCTGGACATTCATATGGTTTCTCTCCTGTGTGAGTCATCTGGTGTATAACCAGGTGGGAATTTCGACGGAACCTTTTCCCACAATATGAACACTCATATGGTTTTTCTCCTGTGTGAGTCTGCTGGTGTTCTATGAGGGAGGAATTCCGACTGAACTTTTTCCCACAATCTGGGCACTCATACGGTTTTTCTCCCGTGTGAGTCCTCTGGTGTATCACCAGGTGGGAATTCTGACTGAACCTTTTCCCACAATCTGGGCACTCATATGGTTGCTCTCCTGTGTGAGTCATCTGGTGTTCCACCAGGTAGGAATTCCGACTGAAACTTTTCCCACAATCCAGGCACTCATATAGTTTTTCTCCGGTGTGAGTCCTCTGGTGTGTCACAAGGTTCGAATTCTGACTGAAACTTTCACCACAATACAGACACTCATATGGTTTCTCTCCTGTGTGAGTCCTCTGGTGTTCTATAAGGGAGGAATTCCGACTGAAACTTTTTCCACAATCTGGGCACCCATATGGTTTTTCTCCTGTGTGAGTCCTCTGGTGTATCACCAGGTTTGAATTCTGACTGAAACTTTTCCCACAATCACTACATTTATATGGTTTCTCTCCTGTGTGTGTCCTGTGATGTTCCACCAGAATGGACTTCCGACTGAAACGTTTCCCACAATCTGGGCACTCATATGGTTTTTCTCCTGTGTGACTCCTCTGGTGTGTCACCAAGTTGGAATTATTCACAAAACTTTTCCCACAATCCAGACACTCATATGATTTCTCTCCAGCGTGAGTCCTCTTGTGTTTCGCCAGATTGGCTTGCATGATAAATCTTTTGTCACAATGGGAGCAGTGGTAGCGTTTCTCTTTGGTATGGCTCCTTCCAGGAATCACGATAGACCTGTTCTGAGTAAAGCTTCTGACACACCTCAAACTTTTCTATGGCTTTTCATTGGGAGGTTCGACTTCTGCATCAATCAGATATGATCTGCAATCTGTGTTGATCCTAAACTAGGCAGTCTGTGTGATTTTCCAACACTGATATTCTGGGTTCTTGAGGAGGCCAACAATGTGTTTGATCTCTTATCTGGTGGTTCTTTGATTCAAGGTAGTATTTCCTTCCTCAAAGGCTTTCGTTAATGCCTGCCAGTTTTGGCTATCCAGGTCTATCCTTTTTATTCCCACTGACTTCCAAGTTTTCTTTATTTATAAATTATGCTCCTTGACTTCTCATGTAATGTTTTCTTGAGTTCCAGATACTCTATTTTTTTCCCCAGCTGAAAGCTTTGTTCTTATAATTCTCTCCACTGTCTCTCAGCAGCTGAGGAAGGAGAACAGATTTTATGCTTCCTGGAAGAAGTGGAAGATTTTGATTGATGATTTGTTTTACATTTTAATGCTGTTTCTCATTCTCTGTTGTCCAGAGTGCTCTTCTTGGCATCCTCTTTGTCTGAAAGATTCATATTAATGGGTTAGTTTCATTTATATTTAAAAATGGGTGCACAATATGTGAAAGCAGCAGAAATGCCTCATATGTTATCATGAAAAAACAAACCTCAGAATTCTAATTTAATCTCTAAGATTAACTATAATTCATTTGCCGTGAAAAGGGATAGCAGATCCAAATATCAACCCAATCAAAAAATTCTTGCTTTGGCTTCAATAAATCACAGAGTGCACTCAGAAAGTATTCATAGTATTCTGATCCCCTCTACTTCTATTACTTTTGTTACACTGCAGCCCGATTCTACAGTTGTTAAAATTCATTTTTTTCTCATTAAACTACACTCATAATGACAAAGTAAAATCAGAATTCTACAAATGTCTGTAAATTTATCAACCCAATGAAAAAATTCTCCTTTTCACTTGAGCAAATCACAGAGACTGCACTCAGAAAGTATTCATAGTATTCTGATCCCCTTTACTTCTATTACTTTTGCCCGATTCTACAGTTGTTAAAATTCATTTTTTCTCATTAAACTACACTCATAATGACAAAGTAAAACCTGCCCACCGATGGTCACCATCCAACCTGGCTGAGCTTGAGTGGACTTGCAAAGAAAAAGGGCAGAAAATCCCCAATCCAGGTGTGCAAAGCTTATCGCCTGATATCCAAAAAGACTTAGAGGCTCTAATTGCTGCCAAAGGTGCTTCAGCAAAGTACTGAGTGAAGGACCTGAATACTTATACCAAGGTGGTATTTTAAGTTTTGTTGTTTTTAATACATTTACAGACATTTTCTAACATTCTGTTTTCACTTTGTTGTTATGGATGTAGATGAATGAGAAAAACAAATTTCAAGAAGTGTAAAATGAGGCTGAAGCATTACAAAATCGACAGGGTCTGAATAGTTTCTGAATGCACCGCATATGGGATCCTGTTTACACAGAAATACACTCCTAAGAATTTATCTATGTAAGCAATTATGTGTATTTCAGTCTGCAAAATGCCCCAGAAGTGGATTCGCTCCTTTATCTTGATCTGATTTTAGGAGGGGTGGGGGGGGGGGGGGAAGACAGACATACTAACAGACGAAATGGTGAACAAAATCTAGGCAAGGCTTAAAGCACCTGTTCTGCCTATGAAACTCCCTCGCTTTCCAGGAGAGCATCATGTCAATAAAATCACAAGGAATGAAATGCTACGCGAAGACTGAGGGAGATAAAAGTATGAAATAAAGACTTTTTAAACCCCCCCATTGGTAAAATCACAGGCAACAATTTTAAATCATGCAGCAAAAGGATAATAAAATCCGGGGAGGGGAAGGATATGAAGCAGCAGCCGACATGTTTCAACCGTCTCCTTTCCCTGCTCCCCTGCTGGGGAGGAACCCAAAGGACCCGACTTGCTCCCGGCTTCTCCTCTGACCTGCCCTCCACTCACCTCCCAGGAGCCGCTTCGACCCTTCAAACAGCACAAGAGGCTCCGCCGACGCCATTATCCTCCCGTGGATGAGCCGGAAGAGGAAGTTCCTTTGTCGCCGTCCTCCTCCTCCTCCTCCTCCTCCATCACCACTTCCTCTCTAGCAATGTAACACTCTATCATTTCAATTGGTTCCAGCTCGGCCTCTCTCCCTCCTGTAGGATGTGAATAGTAGCGATGCCGCTGCTTTACTCTATTTTCTGCTTTCCAGGGGCTTCTTTGTACAGCGCCATCTAGCGACAATAAAGTTGAAAGTCATCCACGTCGTATCTCTACCCTAATTAGAGATTATTAGAACCTGATTTCACCTAGTTTATAGTGTGTACTTTTGGTTTTTCTTGCCTAAGTGTAGAACTTTACTTTTCTCTACATTGAATTTCATTTTATTAAATACGGCCCAATGTTCTAGTCCATCAAGATCAGGGGTGGGATTCAAATTTTTTAACAACCAGTTCTGTGGGCCTGGCTAAGTTGGTGAGTGTGGCTTGGTGGTCATGTTATTGGCTGGGTGTGGCCAACTCAATATCACTCCCATCCAGGCACAAATCTCCTTGCCTGGCCTCTCATGACTTTTGGGATGCCACAACGGTCATTTGTGTGAAAAATGGTCATAGGTCACTTTTTTCAGTGCCATTGTAACTTTGAATGGTTACTCCACACAAGCAAAGTACCAGCAAAGGAGGGGAAAAAAACTCCAGAGAAGTTTCTGAGACTGAAAGTCTAGTCCTGCCAAGAATGTAATAAGGGTTAACAGAGAGGCAGTTTCTGTAAGCAACACCAGAATGTTTCCTTCCTGCCTTCCTTACAGGATTAGGCCAGTAATTTCTTCTAACAACCTGTTCTCCAAACTGCTTAGAATGTTAACCACCAGTTCTAGTGAATAGCTGTGAACTGGTAGAGTCCCACCCCTGGTCAAGATCCATCTGGATCTTGAGCCTATCTTCTTGGGTGTTAGCTAGTCCTGCCAGCTTAGTATCATCTGCAAATTTGGTAAATTCCCCTTCTATTCCCTCATCTGTCATTTATGAAGATATTGAAGAGTACTGGGCCTAAGATAGAACCTTGTGGCACCCCGCTGCTTACTTTCTGTTATATATTTGCATACTTACCTATGATGAGTTTGTCCGTGGCGACGGGAGATTTGAAGAGCCGTCATTGGCCATAAGGAACCGTGGGGGTGGGGGAACACAATGTTGCCATCAGGCAGGAACAAAATGTACCTCCCTTGTGGATCACTGAAGCCACTTCTTCATCTTGGGAATGCAGGATAACTCTCCAAATTATATTGGCGACTGAGAGAAGGTTGAAGAGTGACGCTTGACCCTTCATTCCTTCACAAGATTAGCCAGGTGCTGCATCATAAAAGTTGATCAAGGTCTTGTTTGTATCTGCAGCCTTAAACGATTGTCAGATTCATATCCCTTTAATAGAAGAATGAAGTACGGGACAAAACCTTGAAGGGCCCACCCACATTGCTTCCAAACCCATCTAGATAGGAGATATTATTTTTCCAACTGCATTCTTGCAGCTGGAACTGCCAGGATTACCCCCAGTAAACGGTGTGGTCACGTGATGTCACTTGCTATAATCCCATTGCATAGCAATGGAATTTCTGGAGCCAATTGCTGTCACAACCCGAGAACTACCATTTCCCCCTCCCAGTGCAGGAAGAGTCATTTCCTTCCTTCTGGACAGTTGATATCCTGACCGGCTTGATACCTTCAACAGCAGTTTGCTAATGCATAAAAAAATCATGAGAGGTTTTCCTGGCAGAGGAGTTCAAGGCATTGCTGCAGATTCAGATCTTTTGTAAGTGCAGCTGAAGAGAGCAATGAAAAGTTGGCAGCCTGGAATTTCAACTCACCCTCTCCTTGCAGCTCTGACTTTGCCCCCTCGGAGAAAGGGCTGTGCAGGAGGAAAGACACCTGGGCCCTTCTCAGTCTGGGCTCAGGCTCAGGCACATCACCAAAACGGCATTGGTTGAAATTCTCAGGGACTTTTCTGGAGGGTTTGGGATAGACAGGTTACAACTATTATGTCCCTCCTAGACCTCCCATCAGGTTTCAACACCACCGGCCATATCCTTCTGGACCAGCTATTTGGGACTGGAAATTGGAGGCATTTATTACAGTGGTGGTACTTCTACCTCTATGCCCAGTTGGTGTGGGTAGAAAAGGGGCTGAGTCTGGGCCCTTGAAATTTGGGGTGTCCGGAACTCAAGGCTTTCGCTGTTATTTTAAAATCTACATAAAACCACTAGGGGAGGCCATCCATCCTACGATGCTCAATTATGTAGAGGTAGTAATCCTGTACGTAGTTCAAGTTTCAATCAATATTCAAGTCAAAATATTGACTCAGTCATAAACTTCTCTTTTTGGCTTGGTGAGATCACACATATGTGCGCCTGTGGGCCCATAAAAATACACACATTAAGAATTTTTGTATGTAGAAAATCAATGTGTACTTCAGTGTGCAAAATATCCCAGAAGTGCTTTTTTTTTCATTTTTTTGGTATCTAATTTTGGAAAGGTGGGGACACTAACAAATGAAATGGTGCCCATGAAGCTCTTCGCGTGCCAGGAAAACAACAAGCCAATCAAATCACAAGGATGAAAGTGTTACGTGAAGAGAGAGGGAAATGGGCAAATATGAAATATTAAAAATAAAGATTTTTTAAAAATCTCCCAAATCTCAAATTCAGAATAGAGCTGGTAGGGTCCTTATAATAGATCTTCTACTCCAACCCCCTGCTTAAGCTGGGCACTCTACCATTTCAGACAAGTGGCTGCCCAGCCTTTTCTTAAAAGCTTTCAGTGATGAAGCACCTACAAGTTCTGAAGGCGAGGTGTTCTATTAGTTACTTGTTTTATTTTATCTTATTTCCAGTTGGTTACTCAACTTGGTTAACTTCGACTGTTTCTTGTCTTTCCTTCTGGTGCTTTGGAAAACAAGTTTGAGGCAGCCCTTCAAATACTGGAGTACTTCTATCATGTCACCCCTGGTCCTTCTTTTCTCTAGACTGGTCTTACCTACACCCTGCAATCATTCTTCATGTTTTAGAGTCAAGGCCTTTAAATTTTAGTCTTCAGGCCTTTAAAGTTTAGCCTAGCCCATTTCCCGGCAGAAAATTACAGGCATTTTAAAATCATGCAGCATAATTGTAAAAACATTTGGGAACATAAAGAATATGCACTGGCAGCTGA